CATCGAAAATATTTTGGAACAAAAGTGGTCGTACGGAAAACTCAATCACCCCAAGTACCTTAAGGTTTAATAAAACACTTGCCGTTCCCAAAAAAGAGGGAATTATGTGACAAATACACATTTTAGTTTACATGAAGACTGTCATATAGAACAGTGGCGCACACAAGGAGGAGGGGGTCCCCAGGTGTGGAATCCCCTAACGCCCTTGATTTTTTTTTTCGTTTGATTATAAGCCTATGTATATAGTACGTAAAACTGAATTAAGTATTTGTTATTAAATCACCAATCACAACTCCGTCCACAGAAGTCATATGGATTTTGGAACTTCCGGTTGCTACTTCATATAAAGCTCTTGTTACAAGGGAAAATTTGTCCACCTCTTGTTCTCGTCATGTAGCATGCGCACGTGTCTTTTTTGTGCTGTTCGTTAAGTGTCGTCTAGATGTTTATTTGTTTTTGTGTTTACATGCACAAAATAAACTTAAGCGCGACAGCAAGCGCACAAAACGACAATTTTGTTGATTCCGAACTCTTCAGCCAGCTACACTGGTCAAACTATATGCCCCTTCTTCAGCTTTCTGATCATTTCTCCATATGAGAAACCGTTCTGGTGATTTCTTCAAACCGTATTTCACGAAAGAATTCACTTGTACTTGCAGCAAATGTCTGTAATTGTGCCTCCTTTCTTCTTTTTATTCTAGTCTTGAGCTACACATGTCAACAGTACGGGCGTTTTGTGTACCACCACGTCACCTATGACGTTTTGTTCCTGATATTTGCATACGCATCACCTTTATACTAAATTACATGTTGCTATTGTCCTGTGTTTATATCCTGGGATACATACGAAATACAAGTGAAGAACAGAAAGTATACAATACAAACAGAAGAATTTAGACATTTATTACACTTGATGATCCCAGCATATAACAGAAGGGGTGCGCTGCTTTCCTTTCGAGACGGGAATCTGTTAAAGGCGAAACTCCGACATCTTTTCCCGAAGAAAAAATATAACCATATCTTACTCGGGATTCGAACCCAAACTCACTCGGTTACAAGCCAAGGGTCATATCCACCATAATGACTGGGCAGCAAATTATATGTTAATTGTACTAATTGTACCTTTTCTTCAATTTCATGGTTTTCTGCTTAAAATATGTGTGTCATATATATGTCGCAGGGAAATGACGAAATTAGGAATTTCATCAAATCCTTAAGGGATATGATCAATTGACGGGAGATTTTAAAATAACGTCTCTTTAAGGTCATTTTCCTGATGAAAGTAATTGATTTTATCAAATCCCTGAACTGTTTCAGTGCAATGATGAACTAGTCAGGATTTGCATTGGCAAAATGCTGTCCAGAGGGGGAAGACACCTGGGAGTGTCGAGTCCTTGTACTTCCTCACCATACAGGTCTTCTAAATATCAACCCCATATCTTCAAAAAAATGGTGCCATAGGATCAACATAGGGATTGATATTTTAGAGTGTAAAGTAACCGAGAGGAAAGATGTTACACATCAAAAAATACCAGCCTAATCTTCTAATTATTTGTTAATTAGTTTCGAATAAATAATTTGTATTTCATTAACTATTATTGTATTACTTACTTCTACGTTTAATAATGAACCCTATTTGTTAAATAAACACTTTTAAACTCTTGACAATATTATTTCATCATTTCACTGAAACAGATCACAGGGATTCGTTCATATCCCTTACTTTTATCAGGGAAATGACTTTGAAGAGACGTTATTTTAACATCTCCCGCCAATTGATCTCCCTTAGGGATTTGATGAATCCCTTAGGGATGATTAATTTCATCTTTTTCCTGCGACATATGCACCAGTCTCAACCCCCTTATGGGACTACAGGCCGTTCAGTGCAACTTCCCTTTGGACGAACAGTCCATTGGAACCAGTACGAAACGCGATTCACTCACTGGTGCATCACCCGGTGGTCGGTGAGATATAGGGTGGATGCATTTGTGACACACCCGAGTCTCATATGTTTTCCGTTGTTCAGTACATCGTCGTGAAAAGGTAAAGTTTTGCACGCCAGTGTTAAATTTATACTTTCATATGCGATATCCACGTCGGTATTTTGGGATATATAAACATGTAGACAGCTCCGATGCATATTCTCAACTGTAGTGATCAGGTGACTTATCTTATCAGAACGTGTATTATTGGTAAAGCTGTATTACCAGATCATCCAGAGCAGTAATTCCCAAAGGGGTCTAAGACGACCTGCAAGGAGTCCACGTCAGCAAGAAAATAATTTGGAGGTCTATGTTATATTGGCTCTCATTAAATTAGATCGGGACTTTAATTTTAAAAGAAAATTTGATCAAGTGGAAACCAAATTTTACCTTTTTAGCAGATTTATTTACTAAATTTAATGAGATTAATTTGCCCTTACAAGGTGACAGCATACATTTTTTTAAAACAGGAACCATTTCAGCGTTTCTTTCCAGAGTTAAACTAAAGAAGTATAATACTGGAGGTACGGAATTTTCTCAAATTAACTCAGACAATCTGTCAGCACGTTTATTCAGCTGTTAACTGCCTTTTATTCAGATTTTGAAACCAGGTTTGAGAATGCTTTGACTATGGTAATACCACAGTAGGTAATGAATTTATATGGTCATATATAGAAAAAAAAAATGTTTCATGACAACAGGAACTGATCGTTGTATACACTAATGAAGATTTTAAAGTTTAGGAACGGATGCCAGCAACTTTGGTTTTAAAAAGGCAAACATATTATTTGTCCCGAACTTTGGAATATAGTGAAGAAGTTTTTAATTATTTTTCCTAGTAAGAAGGAGTTTCAAGGCGGTTGCCAATCTCCAAAACAAAAAAAAGAAATTGGACACTACTAACAGAGGAGATTCAAGGTTAAACCTGACAAGATTGGTGCTAAATGTTGAAAATTTGCTACTGTAGAGCCGGATTCATCCCTCACATTAAAATCAATTGTGTGATGTTTGGTTATTTTATATATTAATTAACTTTTAATTTAATTAATTAACTTTTTAAATTTTTAACTCCATACTCTTCATTAGTTATAAATTTAATTTTTTTTAAAGTAGTAGTAGTAGTACTACTAGCTGTCAAAAAGACATTTAAGTTGCTATATTTGCAAAAATTCAATATTAATTAAGCAGGGCTCTACCCCATACCAAAAAACATGGCAAGGGGTCTATGTGACAAAAAAAATTTGGAACCTCTGATCCAGAAGTTCCTAGGGAGTTTAGAACCCTACAAAATCTACGTAAGGGGGATTTATCGCTCAGTGCTTTGAAAGGAATGAATAAGAAACTCGAGGAAACAGACAATTCACCCAGACTATGGAGCGAAACCTGTGTCGAAGAGGTGATAACAAATGTTACAACTCAAATTATTATAAAAACTCGATTATAAATTGAAATAAAACAAAATAATTCCTATATATAAAACCAATTCTATCTTTACATTTTAATTGTCTAGATGTTTATGATTGGTAGTTTCTATAAGCAAACCTTGAACAAAAATTTAATTGGTAGATTAATCAACACATTTGCTTTCTTTGATTTCTTAAATTGTACTTAATAATTAGAGGATTGCTTAGAATACTAAATAATTATTTAATGCATAGTTCATATGCATTTGTATTCAAACACAAATTCCTTTAAATAGGCTTTGAAAGAAATGTGGAATGCTTTTGTAGTAAAAAAAAAAAAAAAAAAAAAAGGTGATATTATTTTTAAAAGATAAAGCGGATAAACCAAATTACAGAGAATTTTAATTTTAATTGCATTATATAATTATTACATTGGAAAAATGCGTTAGAATTAAGGGATACGTAAAGTAAATACTTTTTTTATGATTAGTATTGTTGTAGAATAATGCATCAATTAATACAATGGCGATTATTCTGTCAAAAAACGTCATTGTTCATGCAACAATATAAGCATCCCAAAACACTGAGAAATATTTTTGTGTTTGGCCATTTGAATTATTGTTTCTTCTGAGGACTAAGAATCTTTGTGAAACTACGATTAATATACTATTTTTAATTTGTGATTACTATTGATTACATTTGTGGATTGAGAAGATGGGTTGCGGATTTCTGAAGAGGCTGATTTACAACATGTAAGTAATTCAATGGCATTTTTTAAACCGTATTTGGTTCAAGTGTAGTATAGGGGGGCCACTTGGCGCAGTTCTTTTTTTTTAGCGACTAAAAGTGGTCGCCAATGTACTTTTTTCGTAATTATTCATTATTTATTTTAGAAAGAATTCGATATCTCACCATGACATTTAAATAAAAATCGCCAAATCCGAAGAAAAATCGCTAAATTTAAAGTGGCCCCCCTATACTACACTTGAACCCAGTATTTCAGTTCTTTATATCCATTTGGATGTGATAAATATTTTAATTCGTTGTTTGAAGTAAGGATATATGACTTCGTTTATAAATATTGTGTAAACTAAGGGATTTACTAAATGGATTTTAGAACTTTGCTGGACCAGAAGACAGCTAATTGTATACAATTTATTTTCGAAAATTAGATAGTTGTGATAATTTCCTGAAAATAAAACAACTATGGTTGAATTTTGTAAGCACACGAGGAAAAAGATAGATTTTATAACCTAAAGTAGTATAAAATCAAGTGAGAATAAAAAAACAATATCTGAAATTTTTCAGAATCATTTAAAAAAAGCTAAAAATGAAGTAAAATTGAGTAATGATATTAGATTACAACTTTTATTTGTCTAACTTTAAAAATGTTTTTGAAATTATACTTCTTTTGGGGCGTTAGAGAAATAGAACGAGGGTGAATTTTTACGATGCGCGCGCACACCGTCACGGATGTGATGCAAAACCGTCACGGATGTGACGCACACAGTCACGAATGCGAAAACGCGCTTTGTCTAGAAATATGCAGAACGTTACAGATCATTGTGTGCCACCTTTGAAATTCTGAGAAAAATATTTCTCTTCATTTCCCTGAAGAGGAAACCCGGTTTTGAGCCGGGGTTATCTCGATCCGCAGTCGAATGCTCTACCACTGAGCGATACACCCGCGTCAGCTAATCTCTGCTTTGCGTTCCGTAGGAACGGATACGAAAATGCTTTAATTAGAAATATTTAGAACGGGACAGATCATTCCCGCCTTTAGATTTCTCAAAAAAATATTTCTCTTCACTTCCCGGAAGAAGAGGGATCCCGGGTTTGAACAGAGGACCTCTCGATCTGCAGTTGAATGCTCTACCACTGAGCTATACCCCCGTGTCAGCTAACCTCTGCTTTCCGTAGGAACGGATGCGAAAATGCTTTGTCTAGAAATATGCAGAACGGGACAGATCATTCCCGCCTTCAAAATTCTCAAAATTATTCCTCTTCACTTCCCTGAAGAAGGGGGCACCTTGGTTTGAACCGGAGACTACTCGATTAGCAGTCGAATGTTCTACCACTGAGCTATACCCTTCGTGTCTGCAAGCCTTTGCTTTGCGCAGATTTGTGACCTCACTACTAGTAGGTAGAGATCGTCCTTCGCCTACGGAGCTTCTCTGATGCATTTGTTTGATCACTTTTTTTTTATTTTAAACCAGTGTTTCTCAATCTTTCACTACTGGTGACCCAATTTTCAATCATAATTATTGTGGGGGGGGGGGGGGGGGGGGGGGGGGGGGGGGGGGGGGGGGGGNCCCCCCCCCCGTACAACAATAATGTATTTACTGCAATAAAAATGCATTTTGACGCTAAAGCTACAATGCGATCTCAATTATAAACTGTATAAGTATTAAATTTTGTATATGTTACTTTTAAGTAATATATATTATTTATTATGTTATTTTTTTCTTTCTCTAATTTTTAAATTGGAACAGATCGCAAAATGATATATTTAATTAAAGATTTATTGCCTCCAGCATCCATTTCTAAAAGTACAAATATCATTAGAAAAATAGTCTAGTCTATGTTGCTCTCTATCATATCCATCACATCTGGCATTATCGGGCCTATCGGACGTCTGCGCAAAACATGTAAAAATGCTTTTCCTCGTACAATTCCAGTCAGTTTTGGTCGACTCGATACTTCTATAGCTACTGAATCTAGCTTGAATGTACATTTTTTAATTTTCTCGTTAATTGTAATTCACGGTAATTAAGTATTTACGGCAGTAGATTAAAACAAAACCATACATGCATTTTTAAGTCGTAAGCGAACATTCGATGATAATAAAAGATCAACAAGTACACAAACAGGCATGGTTCCAAAAATTAAATCAAGGAAATATTCTCAAAAATACTTAAATTTTGGATTTACCTCTACTGAAGTAAATGATGAAAAAAAAACCGCCCCAGCTCGTAATGTGTTAAAACTTACAAATCTGAAGAACAACATGTGAAAGTTGTTTTTAAAACCATGTAAAATCATTTAGCCATGTTGGCAAAGAATTTTAAAAAGTATTTCCTTGATGAGGACTACTTGGTAGCAAGTTACGAGTGGATTAGGGATCTATTTCAAAATACTCCAGAAGGGCTCTCAACTTCCGAAAAAGAAATCTTCATAGATTTCACACCCAATGAAAAATTAAAAGGCAATTTTGTAATAAATCGCTCTTTGAATTTTGGGTAGAGGTGGATGATGAATTTTCTGCACTGAAACCAAAAGCACTTCCTATACTATTACCATTTTCAACATCCTACGTTTGTTAAACTGGATTTTCTGAGGTGGCTGCTTTGAAGATAAAATATAGATTTCAGCTAAATATAGAAAAATAACTCAGAGTGTTAATTTCTGATATTAAACCTTCCTTTGAAAAACTTTGCTCTACAAGACAAGCCCATGGAAGTCACTAACAATTATTAAACTTTTTCTTAATTCAGTATTAAGAAATTATTTATAAAATACCTTCTTCAGTACTGATACATCAAACGTATACTGGCTGAAACACCGTCTTCGCACGAGTTTATTTTTTTAAAAAATAAAACATTATTCTTGATGTAATAGCTGAACTGTAAGGAGAGTAAAACTGCGTGCACGACATTGTATACAAAAATGTAAAATGATTTTTTTTAGATAAATGCTATAGTTGTAAATAACTGTTTAAAAGAACTGTAATTTTAAACCTCACAGAATTAGCATTTAGAATTAATGTTAAATAATGAAAAAGAATATAAAATTCCGATGAAGAATAATTGTGTTATTTTTTAATATTTAAAGCGAGAAGACTTCAAAATGTTTTAACCCGGGAGCAGGCACGCACTCGATACTAACGTTAATGGTAGTGCGGGGGAGGGGGACTCAGTCACCTCAATCATTTGTTTATAATTATTTTTAATGTACACAATAAAAATCGGAATTCCAATGAATAATTTAATTAAGAGAAAGTATACTTACCGGCTTTCAAGGACTTTTCAATTTTTCCTTGATAATTTGAAAAAAAAATCCAATAAAACTGAACTAAAATGATTCAAAAGTGCAAGACCATAATGAAGGAAGCAAATCAAAGACACTTTTCACTAATATTACAGTAATGTTATTTGCTGGCAAAGCTGTCATATTTTGTTCAAGTTATTGTAGTTTTAATGAGCTTTCATGATCAAGTGAGTGAATATTAACATCGCACTGTTCAGCTACATGAGGGCTTTTGGAGGCGGACCTCGTAATTTTGAACCATGGTCAAGTGACGAGGACGACACTTGAGCTGGCCTCTTTTAACTCCCACATTACTCCAACAAGAGGACGTTTGAGCTCTCGACATATTTAACGTGCATCTCCCCCCAACACAGCGGGTCTTTAGTGGAACTGGGCACGAACTCGTGACACCTTGGGTGATCAACAAATAGCAAGTTGAGAGAACTTTTTCTTTCTTGTGTCTTTTTGAAAACGCGAACTGAACCTTGTGGTACACTTATGGCTTCATATTTTAGTTGATGGGGTTCTTTAGGAAGCATTTGAAAATTTTCCTTTCGTTTCATGTTCATCGCATTTCTAAATCATGAATAATATGCATTCTTTCAGCAGGTTCTTCCTTTGCTTGATCAATTTCAACTTCCTTCAATAGAGATCACAGATGCCCCGCGCCACCGCTCCCGGGTTAAAAGTGTATTCAGAATAAAAATACGGATGTTCGAAAAAGAATTATTACGTTTTTCACCACGCTTTATATGTTTGAGAATACTCATAAAAATAAATCTTGGCCAAATAATCTTTCAAATCAATCAATCCTTTTCCAAATATCATAAAACTCTTTATTATTTACAATTTCCCTAAGCGAAAAACAAACACATAAAAGATGGGGCGGAACTAATGTAAAACTGTAATGTAAAAGTAAGTTAGAAGGTCAATCAAATGATCAGCAAATGTATTATGTTGCCTGGCTGAAAAGTGAATCATGTCTTCCTTTTCTTTCTACAACTAATGTACAGTATTTCAATAATAATTACAGTGATGAATTTTCTATCATCTTAGAATTTTTCTCAGGGTCCGGGTTGCGTTTTTCTTTTAACGAGTAATATTTTAGGTTTAAAAAGAAAACGTAATAAAAAAATCTCTCATCGAGGAATTACAGCAAATTAAACAAAATGGTTTTTTTTTCTCTTTAATTTGGTTTTGGGATCAAAGATAGCCATTTCATGACGGAAAAACACCAGATGATAAACATAAATTATATCAGTGTTGTTGTGTATTTTTTTTTATTATTATTATTATTATTATGAAAGAAAGTATTTTGTTTTACTTCTTTCCGATTATTTTTTTTAAAAAAATCTTTAAATTTTCGATAGGCTCACGCCCCCCTTGCAGTGTTTAGACGCCCCCAGGGGGAGCGCCCCACACTTTGAGAAACGCTGTATTAAACCAAACATACTTAAAGGAAATTTTGAAAAATTAGTAAATTAATCTTTAAATTGTGTTTCATGTACATAAAACATAAGAATAAATATTAGTTTACCTATTTAAATAACAATTGCAAGTATATGATTA